TTAGCTGCCGTGCGTCCGCGTCCCCGGCCACCCCTTTCCAGCTGTGCCTTTAAGGGCGGCTCGATCCGCGACTATTATAGCAGGTGCGATTCCCGGTTTGGGGAGCCTCTGGGCCGAGCGAGAGCTGCTTCGCGTGCCGAGCTATTGCCTGAGAGCACGCCGCGCTCTTAAAGGCACGCGAGTCGGCGTGTGAAGGGGGGAGCGCGCCCGCGCGTTGTTCTGGCCTCGCAGCAATTGCTGCGTGCACAGACGTCGCTCAGCCCAAGCGCATCCCCGCCCTCCCGCGGAATCCCGGGGGTTGCAGTTCGTTCAGGGTGCTGGGAATTGTTGCTCCGCGGAGGGGGAACTACAGTTCCCAGGATTTTTGCAGGGATGTATGGATGGTGTGTGTACGCAGCCACAGTTTGGGGGAACACTGCGCCTAAGATTGCGGGCTTCAGCGGGTCTGTAAGGCTGCATTCCTATGCATGCACCTGCACCGGCGGAGGAAGAGGGGGCGGGGGGAGCGCACCGCCCCCGGCAGCGCGATCCCGGTGGGGTTCCATCGCGGCTGCCCCCCCCCCCACCGCCCGCGCTGGCGGCTCGCCCCGCCCCCGCCTGCTCTCCACCCCCGGTGCCGGAGCATGGAGCTCCGCTACTGTGCACCTGCTGGCGAGTAAGTCCTGCTGAAAACAAGTCGATTGCATTTAAGCGAAGCTTTGGAAAAAAAGCCCTTTTGATAAGGATGTTGCAACTCATACACACATACAAGGCTGTGTACAACATGACAACATAATACTACAATAACATCGATAAAAACAAATCACATTCCAAAGGCCTATTTGAACAGTAGCCATTTAAAAAGACCTAACAGAAAGCATAAAGCACACCATCTGAACTTCTGTTGACGGAGTTCCACAGCGCAAGGGCTGCCATACTAAAGGCTGGCCAAACCTCAAGGGCAGGCATAGGTAAACTCGGCCCTCCAGATGTTTTGGGACTACACCTCCCATCATCCCTGACCACTGGTCCTGTTAGCTAGGGGTGGTGGGAGTTGTAGTCCCAAAACAACTGGCGGGCCAAGTTTGCCTATGCCTGCTCAAGGGCAATCAAAGGTGTTCCATCCGAAGATCTCAGTGACTGATGTGGAGCATCAGGAAGCAGACAGTCCTTAAGGTGCTGTGGGCCTAAGTTGTTTAGGGCTAATCCTCACTGAAGTTAGCTGAATCTGTAAGTGAGCGCTAGCACTTATTTTACTATAAATAGCAGGCTCAGGTTGCGCAATTAGAGTTGATTCAGAGCTCTTGTGCAATGAAACCCGCTTCCTTCCAAAAATCAAGACTTTTGTGATAAAGAGAGTGGGAGGGAAATGCACTGGAAAGTGTGGGATAATGCCTGGCGCATCACCATCATCTAACCTCCCTGCAAACAAATCAGAATGAATCCTCAATATATAGCCGCCACCAACCAAGCTCCGTGCAGCTTTGTTCAAAAACATCATGGGGAGTTCTCAACAGAGGGGACACCCAGAAGTCACCACACAACTCATTGGCTGACTAAGTATTTCAAATGTCAGTGTACCTGCCATCCCCTACCTGTTATTAGGTGTGATTCCTGCAATGCAGGGGATTGGACTAGATGACACCACTGGGGATCCCTTCCAACTCTACAGCTCTGTGATCCTAAGATTCTATAACTGGAGCAAAATATTATTACTGCTACTGATCATACTTAAATTATTCAGCAAAACCTGAACAACTTTTTCTTGTTAGTTTCCTGCAAATGCGCAGCCTTTTGTCTGTTAGAGCTTGTGCTGATAAAAGCTGTCAGGTGGGTTATTACTAACAAATGGATATAAAGATTTCAGTTTTTAAAATAATAATAATAACATGCCGCTTGGAATGCCACGCAGAGAGGTTTGTGATAGGTAAAAATAATTCCCTGCTTAAAAGCAGCCTTACAATTGCAGTCGCAGCTCTAGAAACCTGCAAAAATCTACTCAAGACAATTAGCTTTTTTGTCCTTTATTATTTCCTCAAGCGCTGAGGTTTTGTGACACTTCTTTTCAGCTGAACCAAATAAATATTATCTTCCATGTTTTTCATTGCACAGTCAAAGTGCCCCCCTTATCTGCTCTCCTTTCTTGTGATGTGGCACCCGCATAGCAACAGCCTCACAATTAATTGGTACTTTGCTTCTTAATTAAGAAGTTAGTGGGCCAGATTCTCAACTGCATTTTTGGAGTAAAGGTCTGGGAGAGATAAACTGTGCTGAGCTGATACCATCCTGTTCTCTGGTAGTACAGAGTGTGCCTTCTCAGCCACTTGCTGTATTTAAGAACCTAGAACACTCCCTAATACTGAGGGAGGTCATTGGTCCATCTACTATTGTCTATGCTGGTTGGCATCAACTCTCTAGGGTTTCATCTCTCTATTGGCCCTGAGGTTCTCCACCCCCTTTTAAGAGCAGATTCTGGCTCATCATTATTGTGATGAAATAGAATGGATGACTTGTGCAAACAGAGGAAGCTTCCTTAAACAGAGTTTGGCCATTGAACCATTTAGCTTAGTACTGGCCACATTCACACCACACCCTGAAAGCCCTATGATACCACTTCCAAGTGCTCATAGCTTCCCCCAAATAATTCTGGGAGCTGTAGTTTGTAAAGAGTGCTAAGGGTCTCCTAAGAAGACCCCTATTCCCCTCAGGGAGCTAAGATTCTCAGAGTTCCCTGTGAAAAGAGATTGACTATGGACTTCCGGGGTGGCGCCTCCGGAAAATGGCGGAATTCCCTTCGAACTGAAGGGAACCCGCTGCACGGAGGCTTGGGTCCTGCCGCTACGGCGCAGCGGGGACCCTTAAAAACCACAGGCGGAAGAAGCCTGTGGGCGTGGGACTCGGCGGGCACCGAGAGCGCTCTCTCCCTTGTACAGGAGCCCGGTAACGGGCTCCGGAGTGGAGGTGCGTGGTGCTGTGAGTCGTCTGCTTCCTCCGTGCAGCAAAGCCGCACTGCCGTTTCGGAGAGCGCTGCCTTTTTCCTGGACAATTTGGCATCTAAAACATCTATCCGTGAGTACCCGATCCTGGAAGAGCTGAACTACTTTTAAGATTGGTGAATAAATAAATAACATTGGACTTGAACTTGAAATTGAATTTAATTGGGACTCGGAACGGAAAGGTCTAAACAGGAAGTCGCCTTCCGTTCTTTTGTTACGTGAAGAAAGCAAAGACAAATTATACTAAAGCCTGAAAACTAAATTCTGAGAGAACTAAAATTCAACATCTAAGATTTCTGAACCCCCTTTGATTGCAGGAGAAGAAGGGGGTTGTTTTGATCTTTTCAACCCTGCGGAAGTGAGTTTAAAATAAAGTAATTTTCCACCGCCCTGAACCAGGAGCGGGCTGTCAGAACTGACGTTTTGAAGCTTATCCAGCTCGACAGATAGTTAAAAGAAGGGTAACATTTTGATTCTACTGTTGCCTCTTGAATTTGAAAGGGGGAATTTTGGATAAAGTGTTTCTGGAAAAAGAAAGATTGTTACTGTTTTTTCCCCCTCTTAAAAAAAAAAAAAAAAAAAGGGTTTTCCATCTAGTGGAACTGAGTGAAATTGCAATGCAGTTTAAAAGAGAAGGATCATTCTCGTGGGAAAGAATTTTTCTGACCTTGAAGGACAATGCTTGTACAAAGGCTTGAACAAGTGTTCCTGGAAGGTTTTGCAAAATTAAGTGCCCAGCTGGACCAGATGCGTCAGGAGTCGACCTTGATGAGGACGGAAGTTACCAGAGCACAGCAGCAAACAAATGAAATTCAGTTAAAGTCTATACAAGTATATGAACCTGCTGTAGCGACGGAGGCTTCAGAGATGGAGGGACCTATGGATGGGCAAGATCAGTCTTTGAACTTGATAAATGAACTTGGGACAAACCTGATTCGGAAAGATGAAATGTGGTCAGATTTGGAAATGGGGGGATGGATTGACACCCCTCTATATGGTTATTTGGACTTTCCGAGTCTAGTGATGGGCCATCAGAGGAATGGAGTAGTCGAAGTCTCCAAGTTTTGTGGAAATTGGAAGTGGTATTATCTGCTGTCTGGCTTGGGTAATGGGTTTGGGATGGACTTGCTGCAAAGAGTCAAAAGCATCTTCTTGCTGGAGTATCCACGACTGAAAGGGAAATATCAACAAGAGTGGCGAAAGGGGCAAGAAAGAGACTTGAGGGCCTCGGATACGAGACAACCAGGTTAAGGAGCTGGATTATTGAGGTTAAAAGGACTGACAATCCCGGGTCCAGGGGAGGGGGGCTGGAAGTTGACTGGATTGAATCTGACTTATTGTTTTTGCTTTCTTATTTTTTAATATTGGGAATGTTTATAAATGTTTGAAGGATGTTGAATGAAATTATATGACTTAAGTAAGGATTGGTAAATATTGAATATAAGCTTTGAGTTTTAAAGTTTTTATATGACAAGAGGGAAAATAGAATACGGAAACGCAATGATAGATTGTTATGAAAAACAGAAAGGATTTGCTGTAAAAATTAAATACTAAGAAACAAGAGAGGGAAGGAGGAGGAAGTCTAGAAAGGAAGTTAATGGAGATCGTAAAGGATTCTATATTTCTGTTTTTCTGTTTTTCTTTTTTCTTTTTTGCGGCTGGGTTTTTTCTTCTTTATTATTTCTGTATTATTTTTGTTTTATTTGTATTTTCAAACTTTTTTGGAAATTTTTGTTGTTACTTGTTACTTTTTGAAAATTTAATAAATATCAATTCTAAAAAAAAAAGGAAAAAAAAAGAGATTGACTATGAAACTATTCTAAGAATTGTAACTCTGTGAGGGGCATGAAAACTCTCTGCACCCTTGACAAACTACAGTTCCCAGGATTCTTTCGGGGGGGGGGGGAGCCTAGACTGCTTAAAGTAGTATCATAGAGTTACAGCCCTTCACTTTACTGAATCAGACTATGGTCCATCTAGCTTTGTACTGTCTGCCCTGACAGTTCTCTGGGAGTGGCTTTCTCCTGGCCCTACCTAGAGATACCTGGGACCATCTCTACACAAAAAAGATGCTCTCCCACTGAGCCATGGGCCTTCCCTACTGTGGCGTTTTTCTCCAGCAGCTCGAGCGAAGGTTGAAGCCCCTGAGCGCAGGGAAGCTGTGAAGCAACAGTGCAGGCACGCCTATGGAAGGAGGTTATTTTTAGGAGACGCCACTCATATCACGGGCTGTCTTGAGGCTGCTTCTGAGAAATGTGCCAATGGGTCCTCAAATATTGAGCTTTCTGTCGAAGTTTGCTCTCCCTGAAGGAAACGCTGAGGCCTACGTGGGCCGAAGGGGGACGAGTTGCTGCCTGCATTACAAATCAAGGTCATTTGTCAGAAAAGTAGATGAGGGAAGGAGAAAGGAGCGGGGGGGGGGAGACCACAGCCAACAACGGGGGCGGGGGGGGGAGCATTTGAAAAGGCAGCACTGTGTGCAGTGAATGATAATATATTTATACTGCACACTTTTATCGACCTAACAAAAAAGTCACAACCCAAAGGGTAGATTGCACAGGCCCGCTGGTGAAGGCCGAGAATGCTCCCAGACAACAAAAACAAGCAAGTGCTTGCTAGCATTGAACTATCTTATTTTTAAAAGTAATTTATAGCCAGATCTCCTTTGTGCCCTTTGGGGGAAAGGGCTATAGCGCACTGGCAGAGCATCTGTTTTGCACACAGAAGGTCCCAGGTTCAGTCCTCGGCGTCTCCAGGTAGGGCTGTGAGAGGCCCCTGCCTGAAACACTGCTGTCATGGACTGGCTGAGTGCTGAGGAGTGGTGAGAAGCACCAGCTAGATCTAATAGCCCTGAGCATGTCTCAATACCAGGAAAAGTACAAGGTAGCTACACCACTCTCACAAGGTAAAGGTAAAGGGACCCCTGACCATTAGGTCCAGTCGTGGCCGAATCTGGGGTTGCGGCGCTCATCTCGCTTTACTGGCCGAGGGAGCCAGCGTACAGCTTCCGGGTCATGTGGCCAGCACGACTAAGCCGCTTCTGGCGAACCAGAGCTGTGCACGGAAACGCCGTTCACCTTCCCGCCAGAGTGGTACCTATTTATCTACTTGCACTTTGATGTGCTTTTGAACTGCTAGGTTGGCAGGAACAGGGACCGAGCAACAGGAGCTCACCCCGTTGCAGGGATTTGAACCGCCGACCTTCTGATCGGCAAGTCCTAGGTTCTGTGGTTTAACCCACAGCGCCACCCAATAGCAGGAAAAATACAAGGTAGCTACACCACTCTCATTTCACAGAAATTGCACACAAGGTAGTACATTTTGCCCCGTGAGGTTCTATCTAGGAGGGCTAGAAACTTTTTTTAAACAAAAGAAAGCTCAGAGTCATAGGTGCCACATAGGTTCAGGGGTGCCACAGCGCCTGTGGATGTTAGCTTGCTTGCCACTGGTTTAGTCAGTGCTGAGCTAGATGTACCAATGGTCTAATCCATTATAAAGCAGCTTGCTCTGTTCCCACAAGCCAGGCCATCCTTATGCTTCAATCTTGATTTTGTCCGCACAGACCTGAGCAAAATAACCCGTTTTGGGAGGCAGGTAATAGCTGTGCTTCTGTAACTTTTGTTTTGCACATAAAACAAGCCGCCTTATGTGTAAAACACCAATTTCAGGTTGAAAAGTGTTGTTAATTGCTTGGGGCACAAAGCTTAACATGTTAAATTGTAGTACCTCTTGGTTTCAGCTGGCTACTTCTTAGAAGAACAGAACAAGCATATTACACATCTGTTGTGCTTGGAAGATTTGCTTGTCGCAGAAACTCTCTTTCAAAAACTAAGGGTCTGTGAAACAAGCGCTAGATGTTGTTTCTCCAGACTTGTTTTAATTTATTTGCTGTAAAAAAAAATTATCCTGCCTTTCCTCCTATGAGCAAAAGGCAACACACCTGGTTCTCTCTCCCAATCCCAATTTTATCCTGACAACAACTCTGCAAGGTAGCTTAAACCAAGACAGAATCCTAGAATCATGGAGTTGGAAGGGACCCCAAGGGTCATCTAGTCCCACCCCTGCAATGCACTGACCACAGCTAAAGAATCCCTGATTGATGGCCATGCAACTTCTATTTTAAAACCTCCAATAAAAGAGATTCCACCACCTTCCAAGGCAGCCCATCCTGCTGTCAAAAAGCTCTTACTACCAGAAAGTTCTTCCTAATGTTTTGTTGGAATCTGTTGTCTTACTCATGGTTTCAGGTTCTACCTTGTGTTTTCATTTTGTATTTTTATGTTGTGAACTGCCCAGTGATCTGCAGATGAAGGGTGGTATACAAATTTTAATAATAATAATACCACCACCCTCTGGAGCAGCAGAAATCAAGCTTGCTCCACCTGCCATGTGACAGCCCTTCAGATATTCGAAGATGGACTCTGATCATGCTTATCTGGCTGGAGGATAGACAGAGGTGCACGTAAAAATTAGACTATGTAGAAAGACAATATTCGTATTCATTGCTCTGCCAACTTTTGCCTGTGGCCCCAGCCATCCATGGCATGTGGACCCCAGAAGATTAACCAGAAGGGAATGTGGCCCCCAGACGGAACAAGTTCTCTAGCCCAAGTGCCAGATAAAGAGGTCAGGATAGCCCAAGGCTCCCTTCCCCCTGCTGCAAGCCATTGTAAGAAAACTGTCTCTAGATTCTTTAATCCTGCCTCTCTCTCAACAGTTTTTGAAACCTTCAATGCCAAATAGGAACATTTGAGAGCTCTATGGGGCTTCTTACTCCTCCTCGAGATATTTTGGATCGCACCATCTTGGAGTAGTTATGTGGTGTCATAAATCACAAGTAGGGCATGGATTTTCTATATGAATTCAGCCTTGTGAAGCCAGCTCACTTTGGAGGTTAGAAATAAAGAACCCAAAGCCAGATGTGCATATAAATCCACATATGTGCTCCTTTCATTTTTCACATTTGTTGTTTAAAGGCAAGGGTGTTTAGCTTAGGGATCTACAGCAGAGCTTAACAGTTCTGTTGTTGTTTTTTGAACACACACACAATTTTTTGTTTGACCTTAAAGGGAGCATTATGATGTTCAGTAAATAGCTTGTTTGCTTTGTACAGGAATGATTTGTAACATCCATGGTTTTCTCCAAACAATTTGTTTTTACACCATGAGATTTAGTGTCAGGGACTTAGAAAATGGAATTGTTTTATGAGCACAGAGCAATCACTCTAGGGCATGCTTATTTCACAAAATAATACCCCCTCCCTGCTCTTTTCTTCCAAATCTTACCTTCTTGGAGAAATGATATATTCACCACACATGCAGTGCTGGCTGGTCTTATTATGGCCAGTGGGGCACTGCCCCACCAACCTCAGTCTACTTCCACCACCTCCCACCCACCCACAGGCCTACCTCCTTACCTAACCAGTCCAGAGGTCAGCACTGCCTGTGAGCTTCCCTCCTCCTTGGTCTTAGTGTTCTCCTTCTAGAACTCCACAGGGAGGAGAATGGGGATGCCTGAAAGGAGTGTTACAGGGAGAATGGCCTAACACCTTGTGGTCAGCTGTGGGTCAATAGAACTTCTGTTCTCAGACAGGTCAGTATCATATCTGAGAAACAAAGGAGGGCTTTTTACACAGGGAGGTGTGGGGGAATCCAGAAAAAGGCAAGAGTGTGCCTCAGAAAACATGTAAGCTCTTAGTGTGGACTGTAGTGCAGTGGTTAGAGCAGCATCCCCACCAACATGGTTTCCTCCAGATGTTTTGAGTGACAACTTCCACCGTCCCTGTCATGATCCAGGGGCCAGAGGTTCAGTCCAAAGAGGGTAAAGTCTTTTATGAAAACACTTACCCAAAAAAGTAGGGTTCAAGGTGAAGATCAGTCTTCACAAGCCAAACACAAGCATAGAGAATCTGTCCAGGTCCAAAACATAATCCAAAAACAAGGTTATGGGACAGTTCAAGATCAATCTCACAAGGAGTTCATGAAGCAAGACAGGAAAACTATTTTTATTCTGTTTATTTGTTTACTTATTTTATTGCGTTCATATCCTACTTTTTTCTTCAAGAAGGTCATGGTGACATACATGGTTTCCACCCTCTTCCTCATTTAATCCACACAACAGTCATTAAGGTAGATTAGACTAGCCCAAGGTCACTCAATGAGCTTCATGCCCAAGTGAAGATTTGAACCCACGTGTCCCAGGGCCAACACTCGAACCTAGCCTGTTGTTGGATTCCAGTTCCTGTCATCCCAAACTACTGGCCATGCTGGCTAGAAATGATAGGAGTTGTAGTCCAACAACATTTAGGGACCCAAGGTTGAGAAAGGGTGCTCTAACCACTGCACCACATTTGGAACAAGGTGCCACAGACCTGCATTGCCTCCAGGTACTAGGAGACTCAAGAAAGTGACCTTATATACTCTGGCCTATTGGAACACTCTCTAAATTCAGCGATGGGCTCTTCACACACACTTTTTGCCACAGGGGTGGTCTCTCCCAGCCCTACTTGCTGGAGAGTGAACCTGGAAACTTCTTCATGCAAGGCACATGTTCCACCACTGCCTTTTCCAATCTCAGGGTTGTGGGGTCGAGCCCCATGTTGGGTGAAAGATGGTTTGAACATATTTCACCAATCCTGGCCAGAGCACACTGACTGCCAATTAGTTTCCGGGCCCAATTCAAAGTGCTAGTTTTGACCTCTAAAGCCTTAAATGTCTCAGGACAGTACTTCAACGACTGCCTCTCCCCATACGAACCTACCCAGAGCCTGAGATCATCCTCTGAGGCCCTTCTTCATGTGCCTCCACGAGAGGTCCAGAGGGTGGCAACATGAGAACAGGCCTTTTCTGTGGTGGGTCCCCATTTGTGGAATGCTTTCCCCAAGGAAGTTCTGCTGGTACATTCATTATACACCTTTAGGCACTAGGCCAAAACATTCCTTTTTAACCAGGCCTTTGGCTGATTGACATCTGATGCCCTTTAAAAATGTATTTTGGAAAGGGAGGTTATTGGGTTGTTTTGTTTTTATTTGATTACATATTTTGTGATTTTTATATTGTAGTTTTATGTTGTAAACCACCCTGAGATAAGGGAGGCATACAAACAAACAAACAAATATTGCAAGTGGTTGGACTAGATGATCCTCACAGTCCTTTCCAACTCTACAGATCTGTATTTCTCCAGTCTTTGCTGTGAGATTAAGAAAAACAGGGCCTGATTGGTGTAAGAACCATGCCCTACCTTAGCTCCAGGCAATAGAACTGCTGGGCTATGGAACATGCAAGCAACATTCTGCTTGCGGCTCTGTATTTCTTCGTTGTTACCCAGGATCACAACCACTTCCCAGCAATAAAAACTGGGTGGCCTGATTTTTATACCGTCCTGCAGCACAGCAATTGGATTTAAATTAATCTATATTAAGAAGCAGAATGTGAGCTGGCTTCCCCACCCGACCCCCTTCAGATGAGAAATGCATTGAGAAGGTGAAATCCTCTTTGGGTTGTTTTTTTTTAATTCTGTTCCTTACTGCTGGGGTCCATTCTCAAGGGATTTCTTGCAGAGGGAAGGCAGAGAGTTATCTGCAGTGAGGTTTGAAAATCAGATATCATGATAGTTCTGCTGATGGGTGAACACACATTAGATGCCGTGAGTCCCCCAACACTCTCAGGATCAGGTTTGGGTTGGCAGGATCCAATGGAAGAGGAGGCAGAAATATGGGGAGGGGGAACCTGGGTTGGAGGAGGAGGGAACTCCCCCCTTTGCCCTGTGGAAGGGGGAGCAAGGATCTTCCCCAGGGAAGCCTGGGGAGTGCTTTGATCAGCCAAGATGTGGAGCTGAACAGCAAGTGGCCTGATCAGGAGGGTGCAGGCTTGTCACCTAGAACCAGACAATGCCTTTGCAGATGGGAGCAGACCCACCAATGGGAGTGCCCACCTGCAGCCAACACTTATGAATACCAGCTGCTGGGAATTGCAGGTGGGCAGACAGCTGTTGTACTCTGGTCCCGCTTGCTTGTTTCCCACAGGTGTCTGCTTGGCCACTGTGAGAACTGGATGCTGAACTTTGGAGAACGAGCGAGGTCCCAGCTAAAGAAGAATGGCAACTGAAGCTGATGGAATACAGTATGTGCAGCTTGCGGACTTAACATATAGAATAAGAGAACAAGAAGAACATACGTTTAGAGAAGATTGGAAAATGTTTATTGAATACAGTGGTACCTCTGGTTGCGAACGGGATCCGTTCCGAAGGCCCGTTCGCAACATGAAAAGAGTGAAACCCGCAGTGGCGCGTCTGCGCATGCGCGGGTTGTGATTTGCCGCTTCTGAGCATGCACGTGATGTCATTTTGCACTTCTGCGCATGAGCGAGTGGCAAAACCCGGAAGTAACCCTTTCTGGTACTTCCGGGTCGCCGTGGGACATAACCTGAAAGAATGTAACATGAAGCAAACATAACATGAGGTATGACTGTATATGGGGGGAAATTGTGTACACTTGAAAACGTTGGCAGCATTAAGATAAATTCAACAGTTTTGATGGATGTAATAATGGAATAAAATGTGTAAAATATGCAGGGTTTTACAGTTGGCAAAATGAACCATGGAAAGAGAAGAAGGGAAGTAACTGATATTTTAAGGATGTTTAAATGAGTATTCTAAATTGTAAAATACAAAATTTAATAAAAATTATATATATATAAGTGAATAGGATGCTGAACTAGACGAGCCATTGGCCTGATTCAGTAGGCTCTTCTTAGGTTCTGGTATTCCTACAGCACAAGAAACGTGCCACAAGTGAGCATGCCACGCCTCATCTTCAAAAGCATGCCAGGAGGGGAAACCTGTGAGAGCCTCTCTGCTCCTTCTGTCCAGTTCTGAGTTCCTTGCTTTGCTCCTGAGTCGTGACTCCTGAGCATGGCACCTGCTGCCGATGCTGTACGGTTACTTGCGCAAATAAAGACCCCTTTTCTGCTTCCAGGTATCAGAGTCTAGCTCTGCATGTGCTAGGTAGGAGCCCGGACATGAGAGCTCAGAGGCAAGATGTGAAGAAGCATTTAAAATCTTGTTATTGTGCTGCAAGCTTAAGGATCTTACTCGGTTTGCCTTGGTGGCTGTCGAAAGGTGCGGTCCTGAGAACAAATCCCAGGCAGCTGTTTAAGAACCTCCAGGCGTGTGAGGACCGTGTTCCGATTTAGAGAGATGTCAAAGGACAGCCTTCCAAGGAGTTAGGCCAGATTAAACATGAGTAGCAAACAGCATCAGAATCCATCCTGGTGGTCTGCGGCAATGCCAGTAATTGTGTCTGACTCAGCGAGCGCCCATCCTTTCAGAAACTGACATACTGCTTCTGCCACAGATCCCCAAGTACACACTGTCTCTTCTTCCTACTTATTAGCACATGTTTCTCAAGAGCTGCTCCAACAAAATTCCAGGTGCTCTGTCTCATTTATGTCTGTTTTTCCTCCTAGACCAAACCCAGTGTTCCAGCCACACATTCTGCAGGAGGTGCTGAGTGATGGATGAATTTATTTCCAGGTTGTTGTTGTTGTTTTTAGTTTTGCCTTTTTCCAGTGCTAAGTTCAGTTCTCCACACTTCCACATCAGTTTGCAATTTTAAAAAATCATCGTGGAAACTCACCAACATTTCCGCATGACAGAACTGACGCAGGGACACAGACCTAATGGGCTTGTGGCTGTCTTCATTTAGATTTGGTTCTGTGATGTCATCACAGAGCCAAATCTGATTGATGATGCTATGACAATGCTATGACATCACTTCCACAATGGCGATCATGTAATTTGCAAGAAGAGAATATGAAACTTATCTGAACTGAGGACTGCCATGCCATCACTCCAATTTGATTTTGTTGGGTCTCCAGAAACCACTTTTTTCATACACGCGTAAGTGGTTCTACTTTCAACTCATTTGCACAGGAGAGCTCCTTGTTTCTCTTTTTCCTACAGTGATGTCTAACTGGTTGCAGTCTGGTAAAAGAGCATGTAGCACATCTCACTTTAAAGGGGGGATTTTAAACAGCCAACTTTTAAAGCTGCTAACTTAAAAATTATGACACCTGAGAACATGTTTACTGTATAGACAGAGTAGTATTTTATCTCAGTCAAAAAATAAAAAAATAAAAAACAACAACAAGTGGACTACAAATCTGGCACTGAAATAAATTCAATTTAGCCTCATGTAATTGCTTATTCAATTCTCAGATATGACATGCTGTTAGACCACAAATTGACATTCTGTTGCTTCTGTTTCAATAAGCTTAACTTGAACAAGTTGCCCTCTAGGTACATCCTGAATGGAAAGCTACTTGATCTTCATCCCAAGAAAATTAGTGTGTTAAATTTTGTTTGAAAAATTGTTATCCAAAGCATAACACTTTCTCAGCCAGTGGTGAGACTGCACAATTAATATATGTGTATTTTAAATAGAATATTTCTTTTAAAGCCAGCAAAAGACCGTAGAGGAGATCTATATATTATATCAGCTTCTTCATTGGATAATGATGATGATGAATCTCAGTGCTTTTTTTCTGGGGGTATTCAAGGGTAAGCAGTACCGGTACCTCTCCCCCCCCCATTAAAAGTGTGGTACTTACTCTAACAACTTCAGCGTGAGTCCTAGCACCATTTTTCTGTATTAAAAAAAAGCACTGATGATGATTGTACCCCGCCCATCTACTTTTGTCTCTGGCCCCACCTAATACTGGCCAGTGGCCCCCAGAAGGTTGTTCAGAAGGGAATGTGGCCCTCTTCAAAAAGGTCTCCCACCCCAGTTTTTGAGGATCCTCTAGATACATTCTCAAAAGTTGCAATGCCTTCTCTAATCCTCAAGCTCTTCCACTGAAATGGATTTGAAGGTTGCTATGAAAGGACCCTGTGATTATTCAAAACAATTTCAAGCCTATGGTCTCATCCAACTCAGAATAGGCTTAGTCATAACATGGGCTATTAAATGCACGGGCCATTTCCTCGTGAAAGCATCACTGTAATACATAGCTAGCTTTCATTCCCACTCTCTCATTTTGGCCATTCTGTTAAGTCACCAAATTGCCCTCACCTTCTATCGCCAGAACTCTTTAACAAGGATGCATTGCCTCATCATAAGTGACTAGAGCTTCCACAGTGCCCAGAATCATTGACTGAGAAGCACCATCTCTAAACACAGAGCCCTGAAGGCACTTTTGCTCTATGTGGTCAACTTTGAAATGTCCTTGGCCCAGTCACAGCCAAAGGGCATTATTTAGATAAGTTGAAGTTTTGGGTTTTAAGCTGATTAGTGACCCAACCCTACAACTTGGTACCTCTTCATAGTATTCTCTCGGAAAGTGGCATTATGCCAGCACTATAACAGCTTCCGGACCCAGTTCAATGGTCTCATTTTGATCTTTGGAAGGAGACTTTTGTAGACACAGGACCACATTCCCAAAGGGGTCCTCCATGACTGGCATGCCTCTCTTTTAGTCAGAAGGAGAGATTTCCAATGGCTTTACAATCACAGTGGGGTGGAGTGGGGAAATCTAATGCTATTCAAGGCTGTATCATCAGAAGTATGTACAGTGTCCAGATCAAGGGAAGTAATAGTACTACTCTATTCTGCCTTGGTCAGACCCCACTTGGAGTCCTGAGTCCAGTTCTGGGTACCACAGTTTAAGAAGGATGTTGACAAGCTGGAATGTGTGCAGAGGAGGGCAACCAAAATGATCAAGGGTCTGTCAACCAAGCCTTATGAGGAATGGTTGAAGGACCTGACTTTGTTTACCCTGGAAAAGAGAAGAGTGAGAGGAGATACGATAGCCATCTTCAAATATCTCAAGGGCTGTCACATGGAAGATGGAGCAGGCCTGTTTTCTCTTGCTCTGAAGGGTAGGACTTGAACCAATGGATTCAAGTTACAAGAAGGGAAATTCTGACTAAGCATCAGGAAGAACTTTCTGACAGTAAGAGCTGTTTGACAGTGGAATGGTCTCCCTCGGGAGGTTCTGGGCTCTCCGTCACTGGAGGTTTTTAAGCAGAGGTTGGATGGTCATCTGTCATGGATCCCTTAGTTGAGATTACTGCATTGCAGGGGGTTGGACTAGATGACCCTTGGGTTCCCTTCCAACTCTACAATTCTATTATTCTAGGGATAAATAAATATAAGCACAACCTCAGAGAGGAAAACGAATGCCTTTTAATTCCCTGCCATCACCTTTGATAGTGGCACAAAAGCCCCTGAGCCCCTTTGACTGCAATTTGACAGGGTTTCTTACACAGGGATGCTTCTCTCACACCTGGGATTTCCAGGCATACTGCCTCCAAGAGACCCTGCTTGCCCCTCAAGATCTCCTTGACCTGTGGAATGTTTGGTTCATCCCCTGAGGACTCAGTGTTTGGCATCAGGTCAGGGTTAGGTATGACACTACCCAATGGTTGGACAGGCTTTGGGTATGCTGGTTTGGGCTGATGAAAGTTGGAGATCAAGAACATCTGGATGTCCACGGGTTCCCCTGTCCTTCCCTAGGAAGTCAATCAGCCTGTGGGCTCATAGGCCAGAATGTTCCTCCATACAAAAAGTCCCCTGTTCACAGGGAGAAGGTTTTAGCTATGCAATGCAAAATTGGCTTGAGAAATGTTATTTGTAATCCCTAAAGCAAGTGATGTACTGACTTGAAAAGTGTTATCAAGGAGTCCCTAAAGCAAGAAATGAACTTTTATCTTCACACTTTCAGATTCCCCGTAACAACTGAGCAATGACTGCAATTTATTTTGTGTGGGTGTGTTGAAAATAATCATGTAGATTATTTTGTCTTTGCAAATCCTATAATGACCTGGCCTAATCCACACCTCGCAACTCTAAATGTGCAAATCAGAACTTAGCTGCCCACCGAATGTGTCACTTTCTCTGAATTTAGCAAAGTAGTGCTCCGTCGCTTAACTTGTCAGAGGAGTTTCAAATTGCTCTGGCATTTGGAAAGATGCATTTTGTAGGGGAAATATGCTTTAAAATTTCAGTCCAGACTTTATTATTTCTTAAATGGAAGTTAATGCGAAAATCAGATGGAACAGACTTATAGGCGAACATGTGTGAAAATGACATCGATGAGAAATAGACAGATTTTGTCATCCCAAATGTGAATAGAGAGCTGCAGGCAGAACAGGAGGTAAGTGACTGCTGCAGCTGGCTTCTGTGGGCTGACAAAGGAGAGAAAGAGTCTGAAAAGGGTCTCAGCAGCCATCAATGTGTCATCCTTGCAGGCCACCCAACCCAGAATGAGACCACTGTGGCGTCAGTGGGTCTTGGAGGATGCTCCAGGACCACAAGGATAAATTTTGGCAGATTTATGCTGCAGGAGAAAGGGCTAGTTTGGAGTGTGAGTGCAAATTGGATGGAACTAAAGGAAAACATGAGACTGGAAGAGACTGAGATGGAAGGAAAGGACAAGTGAGTGAGAGAATGCAAGAAAGGGGAGAAGAAGATAGAGCAACATAACTGCAAACAAAAGTTATTGTAAATTGGGAACCGAGGGGTCAGACGCAGCAGCCCAGACAGAACATGCATTTGCATGCATGGTAGTATCATAAAGCAGGAGAGTCAGTGAGCTTGCCCTGCCTCACATCTAAAAGCTTGGTGGGAGCAGCATGACAAATTGTTGGGACATCTTCATTGCATCCTTTCAGTTCTGCATGTTTCACCTTACTCGTGTACCTAGGCATCATGACTTTTAGACACTGTGCTTGCTGCTGAGCCCATACTTTTATTAGCCTGAATAAAGATCTCTTCCTTAAGTTAGAACTGCTGTTCTTATGTTTTGGGATAGGAGAGTGACAGGCAATCTGCTGGATCACTGCTCACTGGGTTCTCTGCTTTCTCATTCGTCCTGATTAGACCTTCCATCCCGGGAGAGCCTTGGCACGAAAGATTCCTGGTAGCTAAAAGAATGTTCCTACACAAACTCTGAGCTTCTCGCTAGGTTCTCTA